TGTTTTTATTTTCTTGTAAACAATATTTTAAAGTGGTTGGAGAAAAACTTGATTTCACCCAAATGTGCGGGATTTTTAGAGGTTTTGTCCAGTATTAGCAATTTTGGTGATAGCAGTAGTAGTGTAGGAAACATTTTTCATCTCTAGATAACTAGCTTTGCCGTCCAGGTACAAAATCACTAATTTATTTCAAATAAATATTCAGTTTCAATTTAAAATATCTAGGGATATTTGTTGTCGTACATGACAAACAACACTCTTGTATTATAGTATTCTGAATGGTGACTGTTCCAAATGTACACAATATGGTAGGCCAACAATCAACCGCATTCCATCTAGGCCTTGGATTACATTCTTATAAAGCACATGAAAAATGGTTCAAATGACTGACTAGTCTAGTGCAGTCTTAAAATAATTAAATTTATAAATTATTATTCACTACCCTTTTTTCCCCATTTATTGTTTTAAATCATATTAGTAAGGTCTTGGATAATGAATTAAATACATAGCTATCATAACTTACATAACTTACTCTTTATTTTTTCAGAGTAGTGCTATAGTTGTTGGATGGTATACTAGCCAGCTCATACATTTCAAACTAAAGTACAAGCGCACGGATGATTTGAAGAGATGTCAATCCACAAATTGTTTGTTCTCCACTTTGCACCCTTACATAGATTATATCAGTAGGAGTGCAGTTTCTTTGAATTCAACTAAGGCAATTGAAAAAGCGATAGCAAATATTCCCTTACAAGTTCACTTAATATCAAATGAACACAAAGAAGTGAGTGAGAAGCCACCAAGTAGCTGTAATAGCAACAGTTCCACTGATGATGAACTTGGAGAAGTTTTAAATTCTATAGAGAATAGGCTTGGGTTGGCAGCCATTGAAAATGGTCAACATCAAGATGGTTTGAATTTACTAAGGTAATACTCATTTTGTAAGTGGCAATTGTTTTAGTTTATAATATAAATTTTATTTCTACTTTTATAGATCTGCTGCTAATCGTAATCATGCACCGGCTCTTTTTAATTTGGGCTTGTGCTATGAAATGGGCTTAGGAGTTTCCATAGATGAAAAAATGGTAAGTTATGTTAAAAAATGACAAGTATCCTTCTGTACCCAGCCTGTTTAAAAGAGTAGAGTAGAGCTGATAAAACATATTGAGCTATACCAACTCACATGCATGCAATTTGGTTAATTTACTAAGAGGACCTTATGTTTAACTATGTAAAAATGCAAAACATCTAATGTCACAAATTAGATGGCCACCAGTGTGAGGGTATTGTTTCTGCTATTATTAACTTTTCCAGCAGCATATTAACTATTTAGCAAGTTGTAAAGAAAGGTTTTTAATTATTATAAAGGAGTATGAGAGTATATTTTTGTAATAACTTTGTTTTTAGGCAATGGAATTGTATCGTTTGGCTGCTGCTCAACAGCATCCTGGCGCACTATACAATCTAGGGATTTATTATGGTCAAGGACGAGGTGGACTAGACCGTAACACCGCTACAGCAAAGCGACTACTGCGTTTGGCGGCTGTCCAGGGTCAGCAAGATGCTATCAAAGCTCTTAAGGGTCTTGATGACGATGTATCCGAACCTTCTTATGGTAAAGATGTTGATCCTAGTACATTATGTACTCCAAACGAAAATTTGGTACCAACGCAATCAGCACTTTTCATTGAAAATACTAACACACTGCAAGGACAGAATTACAATTTCAATACTTTAGTATACTGAAGTAAATTAATTTGAATATGGGCATGGGTTTTTATTAAATTTGGTTTTCCATTTATAATTTTCGGTAATCTAAGACAATTGAATATTTTTTTGTAGGATAAGGGTGACAATTGAGCACATAGTCCACCTGATGATGTGGTAACTGCGGCCCATAGACATCTACATCTATCATATATTCTGTGTTGATGGTTTTATTCTGTAAGAATCTTAATATCAGTATCATTTAACAAATAATATATTACTAATCCTGATGCGAGTGTTGAATCAAAATAGAAAGACCTATATTATATAAATTTTTTACTTTTTATTTCATTATGTTTTTTGATAGTTTTACTTAAATAAGAAAGAACGAAATAAGATTTTGTGCTCTGTATTTAATTTATATAAAGCTTTAAGCTAGGCTTTTTAACATTGATTGTTTATATATGAAATTAATATATGAATAATCTGTGAAATATGAGACCATATAATGTAATTGTCAGATATGAAATACAATTTCATACATTAATTAATTATAACCCTTTTTCCTGTGGTTGTGGAGATATCTTGCTTCTAGAATACTTGTTTCAACTTATGTAATGTAAGGAAAAAACTGCATTCAAATGGCTTAGTGTACTGCCCTTCAATCAAATATACTTAGTTAACACGTTTACTGCGTAGCTCAAAAACATAATATATATATATATACTCTGGTGCGGTACAGGACAATATTGCCATGTACTGTTAATTTTTCTAGTGCGAAACAAGACAAATATGACCGGTACACAACTCTTTTTAAAACTTGTATTTCTCATATTGTTTTTTACTATCTAGCAATTCTTTATCTTTGATCAATATCTAAAAACCTTGAACTATATACATTTCTCTTGGTTCTAGAATTGGACAAGTATTTTTTTACTTATAGGTATAAAAGTCTAACCGGACTTATATGTCATGTGGCGCACAAGAAGTGGTGAAAATGTTCAAATAGTCGATAAACAGTAGTGATGTTAAATAAGAAAACAAATATTCATTTATTAAGAAATTAAGCATTATTTTCATGAGCTTTATTGAAACAAGGAAGACAAAAAACTTTCTTACATTCAATACACATCAATTTAACTTTTGGCACCTTTTTGTCAGCTTCCCGGCTATTCATTGTTTTTCGTAATTCTTGATAGCAAAGTGTACATTGTTTTCTTTTTGTAGTTTTTTCCAAGGTATGGTACTTCTTCTTTTCTGAGGACTTTATATCGTCGGAAAATGTAAGACCAGTAAAGTTTTGTACAACAGATTCAACAAAATCTATCAATTTTCCTTTTTTGTTAGTTATATTATTATGAATGATCCACGCATTAACAACACAGGTACCAAAAAGAAAACTCATCATAAGTTTTCGGTACCATTTGATCCCTTTTCTCAATGATGAAATAATATGCCGTCATTTGGTCGCTATAACCAACGCCTTTCTTATTTAAATTATATAAAGATACACATTCTGGCTTGTAAATTATCTCACCATTTCGTGTTTTTTTGCCGATGTCTTTAGCAGCTGCAATGTGATTTTTGCACATTGTTATCATTGTGACAGCCCGTTTATCATGCCATTTAATTATTTTATTTATACACATTCCTCTTTTCAGCTTAGTAGATATAACATTTTTAGGTAGGCCTCTTCTATTTATTCTTGTTGTTCCACACAGTTCAGTTTTTTTTTAAATAAATCTTCTGCTAAACCCACAGAGGTATAAAAATTATCAGCTATAACTGTTCTACCGCTTCCACCTGTCTTTTATTAATTTTAGGACGATATCATGGCCATGTAGCTGGTTTCCCAGTCTGTCACTTTTACCTGTATAAACAATTGCGGACCTTGTATTCCCTTCAGGTGTACATAATTTATATAGTTTTATTCCGTATTTATGGCTTTTGTTTTTTATATATTGTCGAAGTTTCAATCGTCCTCGCCACGGAATCATTGATTCGTCAATAACCAAATACTGACCGGGTATTAAAATTTCACTAAATTTGCTCAAAATCATACTCAGAACATCACGAACTTTGCCTAATTTGTCCGTTGGATCAATTGTATCATTACTGAAATGCCAACATTTTAATAGCAATAAGAATTTATCTCGCGTCATTAATGATTGAATATATATGTTTTTATAACATTTATTTATTTATTTATTCAGCCAAACTTATCACTAACATTACAGGATCTAATGACCTAATGCGCTAGTGAAAACAGTAAACATTTTAATTATTATAACATATTATAAATAATGCAGCCCTTGTGAATTCACTCATAGAACATACAAATATGTCAACTACCTCATGGATAAGGTTAAGTAGTCTGGTGGCGCGAGTGCGCGGCGCCTCCCGCAGCATGTTGGTGCGAGCGCGTGGCACCGCCAGCAGCCGCGGCCGTCGCCTTCGCCACACGTATTTCTCCGGCAAATTCAAATATATACCCTCCAAGAAATAAGGATTGTCTATCTTTCCTCTTATTACTTGGAGAATATATGATACTAATGCGAGGTTCCGCCTAACACGGAGTTCATTATATCCCACCATACCTAAAACGAATAAGGTTGGATATTTTAGTGGATAAAAAGGATGATGATGGAATATGTCTTTTTCGACCAATAGTGACTTAAGCTTGGTACTTGGTAAGCTTGGCAACTCCCATTGTCATCAAGATACCCATAAAAGTGCACATTTCCTCGAAATTGGTGTCCTGCCACTTTTTCAACCTAGACTTATTTTTGACACTTTCATTAAAACGGCAATCTAATTATTTGTCTCTGCTACCATTTTATGTATGATGTCATCAGTAACAAATAACTTATAGATATGAAATAGCGATGTTACATCGGGAGGAATGTTTATTACAGTATCATTAAAAGTACCAAGAAGTGATATCTACCCATTCGCTATCTTGTTGTGTAATCAACGGAATATCTACAGTATTTTCATCATCAGCCATGGATACCGTCTCCGTATCACTTGAAGAACTTTCTGAACTAGATGGTACATAATTGCTGTCACTGTCTGTACTTATATCGCTAAAATTCTGTGGGTCTTCGTTTACATGCTGATTGGGTTCTAGGTGATGAGATATTGCATCCGTTGCGCTAGTAGCTGGTAATGATTAGTCTATTGCTTGTGAAGTATTAACTGCATAACTATTTTCTTGAATCAAATCTTTGGAAGTTATTGTGCATATCTTAATCTTACTATCCTCCAGGGTTTGTTGTTTAGGGTCACTATTTTTATGATGGGTGTCTTAAAGTTTGCTGTTTATTTGACTTTGGCGTAGACAATAATTCTTTTATAGATTCTGGTGTCAGGTTGCAATCAATTTTTAATAAATTATTATACGATAAGTCACTAAGTGAGCCAGCTTCACTCGAACTCCCAGGAAAAGAGACATTCTGTAATGTTCCATATTTGTTGCTAGTAGAAGGACTTTCATATGTATTCTTTCCTGGATTAATTATTTTGCTTGTAGTTGTCTGGCAAATTAAAGTATGTGGCCCAGGTGATGTAGTTTTAACTGAACGTGATGGAATCTTTATATCTTCTAAAACTTTGATTTTCTTACCAGGAGGGAAAATCTTTTGATTTTTGCTTGTGCCGTTGGATGCAATATCATAATTTTCTTCTTTTTCTTCGAAAATACGAGCTAATATTTTTCTGGAGCGCTTCATTGCAAATTTGAAGTCGTAACTATTACGTAAAGGGCGGGAAAATATAACAAATGTCGACAAACGTCTAAACGCTAATAAGATCAGTTTCTCACAGTGCATACGCCCTCGCCAACAGTGCGATACCGGACTTGCATATACAAGTCGTATTCGTCCGGTAACGCATGGAATGCAATGTTTTTCGTTCGGTGCGTACAGGTCAAATATGCTATGTACCTTTTTTCTATTGTAATAAAACCGTCTGTAAGAAGCAATGATATTTATTTGTCCCTTTTTAACTCACAGAATATCATACCTAAAATGACGCCGCACGAGCGAGAAAAACTAGTTTTTGGCGCTCGCACCGCGGGAGGGTACATTACCGGCTATATGCGTCCGGTAACGCACTTAACGTGTTAATACAAGTAGTTTAGGCACGTTGCTTAAAAATATTAAGAATGTTTGGTGCGGGTGCTTTCACCCTAATTTACCTAGCCAAGCATGATAACTACTGGTATGGTAAAAGGAAGCAAAATTTTTGACACTTTGATTAAACTATTAGTTTCATTGATTTATTTTAGAAAGTGGCTGGGTTAGAAAATTAACTTTTTGTTATATTTTTTTTCCAAAATCAATCTTTAAGAAGTGTGGTAAATAATTATTTTAAATAATTTATTACACTTCTTAATATATTTATGTTATTAGTTTGGGTTTGGTATATGGTCTCGCCCTACTAGAAGATATCAATCAACATCAATGTAGTCTCATTTTTAACGGTACTTCGTCGTGACTGTTGAAGGATCAATTCAACTTTATCTATAAATAAAGGTTAACTTAAGAAAAAAAATTGATCTTATCACAGTTCAAAGACCTAAACAGTTGGGAAACGAATGTACTTGTGCAGAGCAATGTTGGGGGTACTGCTGGGCAGGAGGCGGGCCGACTTTGTTCTAAGCGCACTTCACCGAGTCTGATAGACAAATATATGCGGTTGGTGCGAGCGTGTTTTATAGTACTCATTTGACCAATTTTAAGTACCCTTACTGTTATAGTTACTAAGTAAAATTGAATTCAAATGACGGCCATGTTTATGTTTCCCTATTTTTTGTTGATAAAATAATTTAAGCCAATGTGAATATATTACATAATTAAATTTAACAATCGAAAACTGCAAACATCTATAATAGGAGTATCACGAAAATATTTGGCAGTGCAACACTTGTAAATAATTTTTTTTTTGTAGTAATAACAATGATCTTGTTTAATAAACGTTTTTTAACTTATAAGTATGTACAATAATCGTAATAAGTGATGATGAGTATTTTAAAATCCAAAATCATTTTATTTCCATTTTTGTGACAACCCCTATTATGCCCCATACACGTTGCCGCGCAAATACCCACGCCGTCGGCGGCATCGTCGGAATCGTCGGACAAGGCGTTTCACAACTGTAAGGTCTTAAAACTGTGCTGTTAATTACAACCCTACTACTACACTTTTTTATTTTAACCAAATTATATTTCTACCAGTCAATGTGGCATTGCGTGTCATTTATTTCACGTGATATCACGCCGTATCTCCCGATCTGAATATTATAGCAATACTAGTCAGTACGTGCAAAAGGTTAAAACGTTTTTTTTTGACTGACGCGTAAAGTTAAAATGTCTTCTCTTAAATTTATATTACATAATTAAAGCTGTAATTAAAGGCTATGACAAAATGTTGCAATTTAAACATTTAAATAAAATATAAAACATTTTTTCATGTTTTATTTCAAAGTTAAACCAATTTTGCTCAAATTACTTGTTTTTATTCTTTACTAACATGATATACACAGTGTAATATATTACAATAAATGTCACCTTAACAGTTTTACACAAACTATGTTAGAAATTCAATACATAATAAAATATAAGAATGTGTATTTCACACTTTTATACCTCTTACCACAGTAAAATAGTACGAACTGTTTCGTATGCATTTCTTACTGCTGCTATTACATTTAAGAAAAACAATTTTCTAAGTAACCTTTGATGATACATTTAAAATTTTTACACTACAAAACATTTAAACACATCCATCCCTATATTAAGAATATTCGCTTAAAGAAATAAGATTCTTGCAATTATGAAATCTTGCTAAAACAAAATATATTGAAATTAAAATAAAATGGAATATTCAATCTATCAATTAGGTGTTAGCTCATTGCATTTTGGTTACTGCTATGATATGACCTGAAACAAAATAATTTTATTTGATAAAAAGTAAAGTTACAGCCTATATACGTCCCACTGCTGGGCACAGGCCTCTCCCCTCATTTTTGAGAGGGTTTTAGGGCAAGGAAGTGTCCGCCGCGCTGCCCCAATCCGTGTTGGCGAATTTCACATGTCTTCGAAATATATTTTTTTATTATTTCTCCGACATGCAGCTTCCCTCACGATGTTTTCCTTCACCGCCGAGCACGTGGTAAATCAGCACTTAAAATTGCAATTAACATTTTCATTGGTGCCGGCGGGGATCGAACCCAGGTTACTCGCGTTCTGTTGTATTTACAGCGAGCGTTAACCATCTGAGCTACCACGGCTATTAATTGTGAATCAGTCACTAAAAATACAATATAAAAGTAGTTTTACTTAATTAGTAGTTATATTTTGTTCCTAAAATTGCTTTGTGTTTTTAATTGGAAGACGTTTTTAAGCTACTGAACTGGAAAGGATACGGGTATTAATTATTATTGCCACTTCAGACAGTTTGTCGGCAATATAGAATTATAAGTACATCTGTAACTAATTCTTATGGTAGTTTATATTACAACCTCAGATCATATAAACAACAGGAGATATGGCAAGGGGGCGTGGCACTTGCGAACGCATCTGGCCGCAAAGCGTATTTTACTAAATACGATACCTACTTAAATAAAACTTCTTTTGTTTTTATTTTTTATTTTGTACTAATTTATAGTAGAATATAATTCTGGTACTGATTAGAAGTAGACTTGGTACCAAATTTATTAGTTAAAGTTCCCATCACTATTTGCTTATTAGCAAGTGTCGCAACCTTGATTTTAACCATTTAGCGTGCATTTCAACCCGCCTCCCCCATACCGCTTACCTCAGACTTTTGACAGACAGGTTTGGATGCAGAAGTACATACATTAGGCGTCTATTCGGGCTGTGTAGTCGTTGTATTACCCATAATGTGTCAACATTGTAAAGTGCCGAAGGAATTAGGGCGCGTACTAGTACTTGTGCCGAAGACCCTAGCGGCAGCGGTGTAGTGTTGTGTGGAGTGTGGAGCGACTCACTGAGTGAGGTGGGGCGTGCTTAGTACTTGCGCGCGAAGTCCCTGGCGGCGGGCGTGTAGCGGTCGGGGTAGGGCGCGCCGGGCGGCGGCGGCTGGTAGGCGGGCGCGTGCGCGTAGCGCGCCTCGTAGCTGCCGCCGTAACGCGCTTCGCCCGCCCCCCAACCTTCTAGCGAGCTGCCGCCGCTACCTAAAGTTATTCAGCATACAAAAACATGTTACCGTCTAGCTGGTACCCGGCGCATTGCTGCCGCAGAAGAAATATTTGTGGAAATATCGTTTTAAATTTGGAAGAGTTATATTTATTAATTAAGAATGATAATACAAATAATTGCAATTGAATAATCAATAAATTGTAGAACAAAGTATTACCGCAACCTGATGAACGTTATGGCAACGCATAAAATATGACCAAGCATTAATTTTTAAATATTAAATTAGTAATGAGGTGAAATATTTTACAGATTTCATAGTGGGGGAAATTAATTTGTTAGAAAAGTGTAGAGCTAACGTTTATTTCTGAAATATCAGTTATATTTTATATTCAAAATAAATCATAACTTTGACACTCGTGTGTCAACCTGTCAACCATCTGGCGACCTGACGACCTCCGGTGAAGGTAAGATTATTCGCCCTCATTACTACTACAGGTTCAAGGTGTGAAAGTCAAACTTTATATATGTGATAGCTTTTACGTAGTAACTTTACATTAGGGGAGATTTGACGGGAGCATGACCGCCGACGAATTGCTGTTCCTGAATTATTGTTTAAATAAAGGTATGAAATAAATTTTGATATGTAAGTGTTGTGATAGCTCATATGCGCAGACATTTATTTCTAAGTATTTAACGTCTGAGCATGTAAACTATTGGTGGAAACAATAAAGAAACTGCTGTGATGGTGATGTGAACCTCAAGATAATATGTCTAATTAATAGAAAAGAAGGATTGTGTATAAATTATTTACACTGAGATAAGCAATATTGATTTCTTATATTTACGCAAACACTACACATTTAAATAATACTAATTTTACAGATTTTATCGCGTATATTTAACTTTTTAAATTAGTAATTCGGAATCCTGATAACACTTTGAGCCATACTGTGTATAGAAAAAAAGACAGATACAGATAGATATTTAAACGGTGATTTTCACCACCATCCTTTACTGTTAGCTACCGTGGGTAAATCTTTGTTTCAGAGAGCACGAGGGATCTGTGACAGTAAACACCTAGCTGCCGAACTCCACCACGTCAAGCAAGTTTTACATGACAACAAGCTTCGGGTCCCGCGCCCACATCACAGTGAACGAGTGAAGCCGGCCACAGTCGAGCGTGTACCTGCTGTACTGCCATATGTTAGAGGAGTCACTGCACTACCTTCCATCCATCATCATATAACGTCCCTCTGCAAGATCAGGAATTTCAAGCTTGATGTGAATGGTTTCTCTAATAGGTCAAACTAAAGATTAAAACAAACCCGTTAAAACATATAGCCGGTACGCTGCAGTCTGTGAACACGTACAGGATCGCCCCCGCGTCACTACATCAGATTTGATAGACCACAAATCCTCGCTAAAGAACACCGATTTCTTTCAAGGATGATTCGCGAGGCTATTGAAATAAAAAAACATCCTAACTTCAATAGAGAAGATGGCTGGGTACTACCATCTGCTTGGGATCCTATAATAAATAAAGTTAAATCCCAACCCAAGTATACAACT